AGAATAAGGAATTGGTAAGGGCTTCGGTGGATTGCAAATTATGAGTTCGGCAGCATAATAAGTCCTTTCAATGGCGTTGAGAAGGCGTCTCTTGATGGTATTCAGAATGTTATAGCTCTTAGAGGGCAAGAAAATGAAACAGGCTTTTAGGTGCTAACTGCTGAGTCATTTTAGGTCGTAGGAGTTTACTATACTTGTATATAAACTGATCTGGATATCACCGCTTCAATAAGGTACCTTTGAGGCTGGCTAATTCAGCATCCAATATATCTATGGGACAGATTTTTCTGGTCCTCTGGAAAAGAGTATATACCAAGTTGCGTTTCCATTGAATGGGAACAAAACTCAGATACTGACCTTTCCAGGTATTCTTATGGAAGACCGCCCATGTAATGGAGCCATATTTCCTCGACGATGACATGTCCAGGCAGAAAGATTAGCTTATTGGCCATTTCTTATGACCTTGTTGTTTATATCGGTTTTTCTGTATGAATTCATTTTTTTATTTTCTCTTATGTGATTTACGTTATGCCATGAGAGGCAGCAACTGAAGAGCTCTCTCGAAATGTCATGGATCCAATAAACCTTGATGTTTTTGCCATCTCTAAATTTGCCGTTAAGTCAAATTTCCATTTCGAAAAAAAAACAGGTTAAACTTGTTGGCCCACTCACACTAAAATGATGGCGGGCGCCCGAAGTAAAAGTGCAGAAGATGCGAATTTAGGAAGGGAGGAGGGAGAAAGAGGAGTATGACTGTTAATCATAACGGTCGGAGGGCCTGGGCTTTTGCGTCTAATCGGTGCCCAAAACCGGTCTAACTGCACCGCCAAGTTGAACTGTTTATATGCCAGAGACGATGGGAGAAGGCCCCGTCTTCTTCTATCAGAGAGTCTGGAAAAAGTGCTTGGTATGGTCCATTCAAAGTGTACAGTGGCCGGTGGTTTGCGATGCGCACATTTTCACTGATGGCCGAGCCAGTTCACATGCGCGAGATGCACGTCAAATGTCTAGAGGCCAACGATTGAAACCATTCGCGTGTGCGCGCGTTTTACGGACAGAA